GGATATCGCGACTGGGCGTCTGCTCCTGGCAGCAGCGGCCCGACATGGCGCCGGGAGCGGGAGCAGGACCGGGCGCTGCTGCTGCCGCCGCCACCCTGCCCGCCCTGCCGCCACTTCCGGCCCGGGACACGCCCCTTCCGCCGCGGGGCGCGACGGGAAACCGAGCGGAGGGCGGGGCTGGGGGCGGGGCTTAGCTCCCTTGGGGCGGGGCCTGGGGTGAGGGCGGGGGTTGTGCTGAGAAGGGGCGGGGCCTAGGGAAGGCGGAGCGCGCCCGGGCGCACGGCGGGTCCTTGTGCCCCCCGGTCCTGAGCGCCTCACGGGCACCCACCTCCCGTGCCCCCCTGGTCCTGTTCACTCCCAAGGGCACCCACCTCCTGTGCCTCCCAGTCCCCTTCCCCCCCCTCCCAGGGGTACCCTCTCCCTCTGTGCCCCCCGGTCCCGTTCCCCCCATGGACACCCACCTCCTGTGCCCCCCGGTCCCATTCCCCCCATGGGCACCCATCTCCTGTGTCCCCCAGCCCCATTCCCCCCTTCCCAGGGGTACCCTCCCCTCTTTGCCCCCCCAGGTTCTGTTCTCCCCCCCCAGGGGCACCTACACCCTGTGTTCTCCTCTCCCGGGGGGTGTGTTGCCCCCCTTCCCCTCCACCCCATGCGCCCAACGCCCTGAGGTGACCCCACGGGGGGATGCTGACAGCGATGCCTCCTCCCCACGGGGGTCCCAGCCCTCTGTCCCCCACCCGGGGGGTGCCCCCCCCAGTGACCATCGCCTGCCCCACACGGGGCTGCAGCCGGGGTGGCCGCGCTGGGAGGTCCCAGGTGGTCCCGGTGTGAACCCTGCGGGGACAGATGTCACCTGCCTGGGTGGCAGACCCCCACCCCAAATGGCTCTGCCACCTCTGGGGGGGGGGCTGAGACCAAATGCAGGAGCTGCTGGGGGGACACACACGTGTCCGACCCCCCCCCACGCCATGCCCGGGGTGGGGTGCTGGGGCAGACCCCCAGCAGGACTGCTCCTGTTGGGCTGCCCGGGGCTGGGGGCAGTGAAAAAATAATGATTTTTGAAAAAAAATTTATTAAGTAAACCATTTAAAGAGCAGCTGGAGTGTGATGGGGTGGGTCGGAGCCCCAGGCTGGGTGGGGGGGTGCAGCCCTGGCACAAATCCCCTCCGAGCACCCCTGGGGTGGGCAGAGCCCGCTCCCCCCCGCAGCACCACCCTGCTCACAAGTGTGATGAGTGCCATCCGGCCGGAGGGAGAGGGGCGCCCTGAGCTTGTCAGAGGGGTGGCACGGCTGGGAAGGGGGCAG